CCCTGCTTGTGTTCCCTCTCTCGCTGTGTCTCTCTCTGTCAAATAAATAAAATCTTTACAAAATATATATATATATGATTACTAAAATTTAAAAAGTACATGTATAATACAAATCCTGATACAAAAAGCTGAGCTTTTATCTAGAAATATAGAATAAAAAGATAAAAAGGTGGACTGTGAAAGGAAATTTTATTTTTTAAAATTATTTATTTTAGAGAGAAATAGAGAGCAAGAGTGCAAGAGCAAGGGGTGGGGGAGGGGCAGAGAGAGAATCCTTAAGCAGACTCCCTGCTGAGCAGGGAGACTGACTCAGGGCTGGATCCTGGACCCTGAGATCATGACCTGAGCTGAAACCAAGAGTTGGATGCATAACTGACTGAGCCACCCAGATGCCCCTAAAAGGGAACTTTAAATACAGATAAGATCATATGAAGGGCCAATGTTTACCTAAAAGTGGTTTTAAAGGAGAGAACACAGGAAAAGAAAGAGGGGAAATGATCCAAATAGTAATAGAAAAAGAAAGCTAAAAATTTAAGGAAGACATGAGTCCTCAGACTGACAATGCCTTAGGGTGTATATCTGCATTTTAGAGGAAAGATTTAGCATGAAATATCCTTGTGAAATTTTACATTACCAAGGATAAAGAAAAAGACACTTCCAAAGAGAAAACAGAGAGTAAAATAAAGTTATCTTTTATATAAAGGAAAGAAAACCAGATGGGCATGATTTCTTCTTAGCAACAATGGATACTAGAAGACAATGGAATAATGCCTTCATGACTTTGCAGAAAAAGTATTTTGAACCTCAAATAGCCTACACGTCAAAATCATATGACAAAAGAACAAAAACAAATATTCAAGAACTTAAAAGATAAAACCTCCTATAGGTATTTTGGGGAAAGAGGGGGAAGAGCTGCTCAAGGAGACACTTTAGTCAAAAATATTTCAAGAAAGAAGGTACTGAAATCCATGATAGTGACATTAACCCAGGAATATGGTGGAATGGACTCCAAGATGATAACCAAATAGCAGGTGTCAGACATATCCCTCCAAACTAGTCATTTACCCAAGAGAATGATGAAGAAGGTAATTAATCTTGGTGTTACAGAAATGAAATCACATATTGTGCTTCTCTCAAAAAGGCGTTGCATTGAAACTGGGATGGAGGTGAAGGATGAAGAGGGAGTTTGTATGCTCCATTTTTTACTTTTCAGTGCTATTTGAATTATTTCCATTTGATGTATTTCTTGTATAATACATACTTGTATATCATAGAAGTTGTGAGTCAAAAGATCATACATAGTTCACATTTAGTTATCTGTTTTACAAGGAAAATACCAATGCCTATGAAAACCTATGTTACTAATGTCTCTTACTTGTTTACATTTCTTTTAGAGGCGAGAATCATGAACCAGAGTTTACCTTTTCATATCTACTTCTTTTTGGGACTGTTGCCCTTGTGGATACTGTGTACATCCTCTGCCAATAAATGTGTTGTTAGACAAGAAGTAGCTGACTGCAGTCATCTGAAGTTGACTCAAGTGCCTGATGACCTTCCGGCAAACATAACAGTGTTGAATCTCACCCATAATCAGCTCCGAAGATTACCATCTGCCAATTTTACAAGATATAGCCAACTTACTATCTTGGATGGAGGATTTAACTCCATCTCAAAACTGGAGCCAGAATTGTGCCAAAAACTCCCCCTGTTGGAAATTCTGAACCTCCAACACAATGAGCTATCTCACCTTTCAGATCAAACTTTTATCTTCTGCATGAATTTGACTGAACTCCATCTAATGTCCAATCCAATCAAGAAAATTCAAAATAATCCCTTTCAAAACCTGAAGGTAAGATGAAAATGTTCATCTCCATATAAAAAATTAAAAATATGTTATCTCATGTTAAGTTTTCAAGTCACTTATGAATCTTTAGACTTTGTATCTAAATATCAAGGTGAAGAATAAGAAAACCAATCTTACCCCGTTTACGTTTGAAAATGTTTTCAAAAGGCAAAATAGTGTCTTAAAACCAATTTCAGTCTTAATTTTTAAAGAACTTTGCCTCTCTTGCTCCCTCCCATTAAAAATTCAACTTAGAGGGGCGCCTGGGTGGCTCAGTCGTTAAGCGTCTGCCTTCGGCTCAGGTCATGATCCCAGGATCCTGGGATCGAGCCCCGCATCGGGCTCCCTGCTC